TTGTTGGAGGATTGCTTGGTGGCGAGAGTATCTGTAGGACCGTGCAAAGCATTGACGTTTGCTCGTATTGTGACAGACTCACAGCGCAGCCAGTGGACCGTGAATTTCCTGGAGCAGTGCAAGGCGCCGTGTTGAAAGCAGCCATGGGTCGGCTCACTTCACAGTGCAGCCAAGCTGTCTGTGAGTTGCAATTGCGGTATTTGCTAACCTGAGATATTGGGATTGCAACGCCTTCAGCATCATCTGCTGTTGGGACAGCGGCAACAAAGGTGCATGTGCTGCTTGCTTCAAGTTTGCCCTGTTGCCGCATGTGATTAAACAATTCCTCATACCCACGCAGCACACCAAATAAGGCAAGGTAAATATTTTTTTAAAAACTGCACGTTAAATGTTTCTTTCCCGAAATAATGAATGCCCACAATCTTGTATCATTTACTTCAGGCAGGCGATGCACATTCGATGGTTGCCACAATCGTTTTGTCAAGCAGGGCAGTGGAAACTCTGATTAACCATGGTTGAATTCCATGCGTTTTCCAGTTAATCTGCACCTCAAACGTCAGCGTCTGCTTACCTCGTAATGTAGGGACAAGGGGCCGTCCATAAATGACGTCACGCGATTTTGGATGATTTTTGACCCCCCCCTCGTCACACGGCGTCACAAGAAGTCAGACCCCACCTCAAATATGACGTCACAAAGCTCTGCCCCCCCCCCACCCAAAAAAATAAAACATGCTTCAAATTGCTTTAAACTATTGTCATTGTAGTGCGTATTTAATGTGCCGCTGCACTCTGATGTTGTAGGAGAAAACATTTATTAAAAAGTATATTTAAAGTTGCACATTTTTATATGACGTCACATTTCTCACCCCCCCCCCCCCCCTTCGTCACGCATCGTCACAAACGTCTGACCCCCCCTCCCCCCTAGGTGCGTGACGTCATTTATGGACGGCTCCCAAGGGAATAAGCAGCTGGTCGGACAATTTGCGACTCCATTGGAAACTCCGTGATTTTCATGCTGAAGCTGGGTTTTGGAAACTTGTAGACAATGTCAGCTGTATATACATTCCGCAGTCCACTTTGCGAGTCCTGTAAGGACACAAGAACGAGTGACAACTTAATTTCACAATGTGGCCAGAGCCTCACGCTGGATCCCTTCCTTATTGTTGAATTGCTGTCCCCACTTCACATTCCCAGCAGTGTCAAGCTGGCATGCGGTTAATGGTAAGCAGAGAGTTTAAAATCCTCTGTTTATCCGTGACCTGATTATCCATGAATCCGTTTATCTGGGGTCAGCGAGACCTGGTTCTCTCTTACAGATAACCAGGAGGCGTGGCCATCAAATTCGCACGGTGAAACCCACGGCTTAATGCGAGTTATTTGGAAAATTATTCCAAATATCCTGGTCCAGAATTGGGCAAGCTGGGACTGGGTAAGTACTGATTCCGCTTGGATCGCCTTAGCTGGCTTAGACATGGGCACATGTGCACGCCTGCTAAACTTCCTTCGCACCGCACATAGTCAATCAATCGTGCTAATCGGAGGTGCGGCCGTTTCTTGGCATATTGCTTCCACATTTGATGTTGTCAAGATGAATGGCATTTGTGTTGTACGGTACGGTTTGCAACTACACTATACACTACTATACCCAAGTACACTATACACTAATATACACTACACTACTATGCACAACTACACCACTACTATACACAACTACACTACACTATACACTACTATACACAAACTCTAGCTCTTCCTGTCGGAATTCCCAGGCGTTCCCAGGCCAGCTGAGCGACATTGTCCCACCACTACACTATACACTACACCATACACTACACTATACACTACTATACACAACTACACCATACACTATACACAGACTCGAGCTCTTCCAGTGGGAACTCCCAGGCGTTCCCAGGCCAGCCGAGCGACATCGTCCCACCACCCCACTATACACTACTACACTATACACTACTACACTACTACACTATACGCTACATCGTACACTACACTATACACTACTATACACAGACTCTATCTCTTCCTGTGGGAATTCCCAGGCATTGCCAGGCCAGACGAGCGACATCGTCCCACCACTACACTATACACTACTACACAATACACTACACTACATCATACACTACACTATACACTACTATACACAGACTCTATCTCTTCCAGTGGGAATTCCCAGGCGTTCCCAGGCCAGCCGAGCGACGTCGTCCCACCACTACACTATACACTACTACACTATACACTACACCATACACTACTACACTATACACTACACTATACACTACTATACACAGACTCTATATCTTCCAGTGGGAATTCCCAGGCGTTCCCAGGCCAGCCGAGCGACATCGTCCCACCACTACGCTATACACTACATCATTCACTACACTATACACTATATCATACACTACACTATACACTACTATACACAGACTCTAGCTCTTCCTGTGGGAATTCCCAGGCGTTCCCAGGCCAGCCGAGCGACGTCGTCCCACCACTACACTATACACTACATCATACACTACACTATACACTACACTATACACTACTACACTATACACTACTACACTATACACTACACCATACACTACACTATACACTACACTATACACTACTATACACAGACTCTATATCTTCCAGTGGGAATTCCCAGGCGTTCCCAGGCCAGCCGAGCGACGTCGTCCCAGCAGCAGCAGCAACAGCGTGGTCCTGGACCGGCCCCCACCCCGGGGTCTTCGCCCAGCCGGACGTTGCTGCTGCTGCCCGGTAGAGTTCCAGGGGGAGTCTACCGGGGGGCATCCTTACCGGGTGGCAGAACCACCTCAACTGTTTTGAATATCTGACCCACAAAGAAATCTATTAATTGGAATGGTTTTTTTGGCAAAACTAAAATCCCGCCAAACTCGCGTGAGCGGAAGCTCGTGCAGTGCTGGAATCCGATGAGCTGTGAAGCTCTTTTTTTCACAGACGTCCAGTAAGGGGGCACGGTATCAGAACGTTACAACAAACAAACAATATAAAACACAAAGTATAGGAAAGGTAAACAAATCACTTTAAAAAACATACAAATAAAATTGAACTGTTTTTTTTTTATCTTATCAGGTAAAGCCCACTGAGCTTATTAGCTTTTTCAGCAGCGACCTGGCCACAAATGATAGCTCAACAAAGTGGTTTATCACGTGGAAATTTAGAGCAGCCAAATACTCTAAACGCGTGGTGATGTTGATTCTAAATGTGGAGGGAAAGAAACCGGAGGCCCTGGAGAAAAATCCACGCGACCACGGGGAGAGAGGGAGAGACACGCAAACTCCAAATATACAGCAGCAGGCGTCACGGTCGGGATCGAACCCACGACCTCCTGTATACCAGGCGAGGTAGTTAACATCTCTCAGCCACCGTGATGATGATGAGAGAGAGAGACACGCAAACTCCAAATATACAGCAGCAGGCGTCATGGTCGGGATCGAAGCCACGACCTCCTGTATACCAGGCGAGGTAGTTAACATCTCTCAGCCACCGTGATGATGATAAGAGAGAGAGAGACACGCAAACTCCAAATATACAGCAGCAGGCGTCACGGTCGGGATCGAAGCCACGACCTCCTGCAGACCAGGCGAGGTAGTTAACATCTCTCAGCCACCGTGATGATGATGAGAGAGAGAGACACGCAAATTCTAAATTTTCAGTAGGCGTCAAGGTCGGGATCGAACACACGACCTCCTGTACACCAGGCGACGTAGTTAACATCTCGGCACCGCAAATCGGTAGCCAGATGTTAACGACCTGGCCACAAACAACAGCTCGACAAAGTGGCTTATCACGAGGAAATTTATAGCAGCAAAATAATCTAAATGCACTACTCTAAATGTGGAGGTGGGGGGAGACCCCAGAGTACTAGAAGAGAAAAAAATCCACGCATAAAAAATCAACCAAGGGAAAATAAAAAATAAAATAGCCACTCGGTGACTTAGACCGCCGTGCCGTTTGTATGCTCGCGCGTCATCGATGATGAAGAAGGTTAACCATATTCTTGGTTCTTTTGGTAAAGTCACGTAGAAGGGGAACAATATAATTGTATTGTTTTGTATTTTTTTTTATTATTTTATTGTTTCCCTTCTACGTGACTTTACCGAAAGAACCAAGAATATGAATCCCTGCAGTCGCAAAAGCTTTAAATCAAAAATCGAAGGTTAACCAGTTTTACCGGTTGTCGGTTGAAACACCGCTCCTAAATCATGTACAACAACAGCCGTCATTCGCCACTAAGTTGCAATGACGTCCCCACGGCGCCTGTGCCAGGCTAGGTGCACTTTGAGGTCACCGCGTGAAGTGTCGAAGGCTGCTGGCAGGAGGTCACGGGACAGACCCAGCAGGTGCCCAGGGGTTGACCGACTGAGATGACCGGGCTGATGCACCACCAGCTGTACCCCCCACTCTCCCTTAGAACTGCTTTTTTGCCTTAACTTGTTGTCCTTCCCCCGCACCTCCGGTCGGCACGGTTGGCTACGTGCGGTGCGAAAGAAGTTCTACATACAACCATGTACAGTACACACACCTGTCAACCCACACGGGTTACTCCGTGTTCTCGTACTGGCAAATTGAGTTTTCAGGTCCATACGGTGTACAGTCGTTTCAATAAAATCTATATTTATCTATTGCTTTGTTTCACCCTTGTGATGGGAGTTTGTAGGATGCACGTTGCGGTTTACAAGGGGCACGCGGGGTGACCAATAAGGTCTGAATTGGTCTGTAATAAGGTAGGGCACTGATAAGGTGTTGACAGGTCCGAGTACAGTGCCGTCAACAAGCGACGTCACGGACCGCCGCAAGAATGACGTCACGCATTTTCAACATCATCCCGTCTTCTCCACGTAATGACGTCACGTGACGATCGCCTCCAACTAACATGACGTTGCGACGTGTCAGGTTGTGGTGGTGGTGGCTCCGATGGGGGGGGGGTGGAGACAATCGAAGTGCACATGACGTCATTCACCATCAACAAATTACGTCATCGCCCAAGCAGAGCGAGGCGACGTGGACGCGCTGCCTTGGGAGGAGGAGGAGGGTGGTGGTGTTGTTGGAAGTGGAAGGAGTCTCTCGTGGGGCCACGGGCGTCCACGACCCCCCATTCGAACTCGCCCCCCCAAGGGGTCGATCGTTGCCGGTTACTTTTTGAACGGAGGCCGCCCGCCGCCGCCGCCGTCCCAGCGGCGACTCCTCCACGTTCTTCGCTCATATCCACTCGCAAAACATGGACGCCTCGTCTCGCCTCCACGACAGCGACGGTCGCGGCGCGGTGAAGCCGCGGAAGGAGCTCGCGGTGAGCAGCGGGGCTCCTCGGTGTCGGTGGTTGTGGTGGTGGTTGTGGCGGTGGTGTAGGAGCGGGTAGCGCGCTGCGCTACGAACCCAGAGACCCCCCCCCCACCACCCAAGTTCGAGTCGTGCTCACGGCCACCGACACCAAATGATTAGCGATTATCAGAAGCGGTCCGTGGGTCCTCCTCCTAGGTTGACTCGGCCTCGAATGAGTAGCTGGTGCGGTGTGTAGTAAAACGTCGCCACTGGGGAGACAAAGGCGGCCGGGCGTGCTGCTGGTCACCCACCCCCTCGTGCGCCTTGCTGGCCTTTATAGGTGCTGCTCGCTATCAGCACTCGCCCCTACAGTCTGTGAAGGTTGTACGGGGGATCTTTGGTGGTGGTGGTGGTTGTTGTGGCTTACTGGTGGATCACCCGTGTTGGTGCGATTCGTGACTATTAACGATTTCACTCTTTTTTTATAATCTTGCCAGGTTAAGACCTTGCTGAGCTATATATAGCTCTTTTCTTCAGAAGCGACTTCACCACAAATGGTAGCTCAACCAAGTGGCTTATGCGGAAATTTATAGAAGCAGTTAAACACTCTCTTAAAAACGCGTGATGTTGATTCTAAATGTGGATGGAAATACCGGAGGACCCGGACACAAATCCACGCGACCACGGAGAGAGAGAGACACGCAAACTCCAAATATACAGCAGGCATCAGGATCGAAGACACGACCCCCTGTATACCAGGCGAGGTAGTTAACATCTCATAGCCACCGTGATGATGATGAGAGACAGGCAAACTTCAAATATACAACAGCAGGCGTCAAGGTCGAGATCAAACCCACGACCTCCTGTATACCAGGCGAGGTAGTTAACATCTCCTAGCCACCGCAGAGCCCCAGCAACGCATGGTGCATGCAATGAAACAGCATTGATGCAATGAACATCGTACGGCACTGATCAATCCCCCCCCCCCCCCCCTGTTGATGTAATTCACACTGCTGATGTAACTAGCGCAGTATTTTTTGATTTAAAGCTTTCGTGACTGCAGTAATTCATATTCTTAGTTTTTTCGGTAAAGTCACGTTGAAGAGAAACAACAAAATAACAAAATAAATTTATGCAAACCGACACACCTGATGATGACCGTTTGAGTTATGGTCGAAACGTCGTGAGAATTTTTTATTGTTTTATATATATTTTGTTATTTTGTTGTTTCTCTTCAACGTGACTTTACCGAAAAAACTAAGAATATAGCGCAGTATTGTTCGCCCGTGTCGATGTAATCGATGCAGTGTTGAGCCACTCTTGTTGATACGCCCAGTGCCGTCAGACTTCGAAACCTACGCATGGTCTGAGCCTGCATAGTTCCTGGATCGGCAACCACCAAATGCCAACGTTGACCCAACGTTTGTGTATTTACTGGGCCGGCACAGCTTGTGTGGAGGAGGGTCGCACCTCGGCGTTTGTGTGTGCGTGGCAGATGGGAATTGCAGGGCAAGTCTACAGAATAAAGAACAACTCGTTCTCTGCCTTGCATCGTGGGCGCTCAGCTTGATTGTGTGTTCTTGGGCTACCAGCTGCGAGTTGGAGGCCTTGGTTAATGGGGGGAAAAAGGAATCAAAAATCACGATTGGAGTGACGCATTCCGATTATCCCATAAGAGTACCAAGACCAACGACTACTGCAGCCTAACTGTGTATGTGCTTTATAATAAATACCGTACAGCTTAACTGTAGCTAATGCAGATGACATGCAACAACTCTGGCTTAACTGTTGCAGCATACAACTTGCGCTAGGGCAAGTACAGTGTAGGGTTTAAACGCAGCATGCGTAGCAGTCACGGCAACGTGCTGGCTACATGCACACCGCCAAGCCTCGGGTTAGTTTGAGCAGCAACTACAACCCTTACGGCAACTACAGGTTAAGCATGTGCGGCCCCTGAATCGTGACCCTGCTGGATGAGGATCTCTCCAAGATGTTGGGGGTTAATTGCCCATACTTGGTCACGCCGCTGGTCAGTGTTGGGTTGGTGAAGATCGGATTATAAACGTGGGAGTTGTGTCGTACAGGACAGCATTTTTCTTACTCTTTGGGTTTTTTCTTAGGTAAAAAAATCAATAAAATAAATGAAAAAACTAAATTAAATCACGACGTTTCGGAGGCAACGGAGGTGGAAACCGTCACAGCATTTTTCTTCTGGCAACTACTTTAGCGCCGAAGCATAACATTTGTTATACACATTGGCCGTCTATCCAAACACCATTTCAGGCTCGGACCTGCTTAGCATTCTAGGACAGGACGTAGGGTTCAGGGGCATTTCGGATCAATTGGGCATCGGTTAAAATAAAGCAACACAGTTTCTGGCTTCTAGGTTACGTGGTGGAGAACGAGTGCAGAATTACAGTATTCTGTTGCGATCACTAATATCACTCCCAGAAAACCTAGTGTCAATCCAATGACTCGCCTAGATTTTTCTATTTTCCCAGGATTGTCAGTCATTTTTAAGTATATATATTTTTTTCTCATTAATAGCGCTAAGCAATTTTGGTGGAAAGCCGGTGACGCAAAGTGTAGGCACGTGCAGTTTCTGTTGAAAAAGCATCTTTGTTGATTGGGTTGCATGTTCCTTTTATAACACCTTCATCAACGATATTAAGATATCTCGAATAACACCTACAATATATGCAAATTGCATCACTGTACCATATTAACTTCCGCCATTTAGACTTCCTGCACTCAACATAATCTACAGCGCCATTCTAAACCCTGGAATTTAGCCTGGACGTACTTTACACTATTTCAATTGTCAGGTATGGAAGATCCGTACAAGCAGGAAAATATATTTACTCCCAAAACCTGACTTATTAATCCTTTTATGTATTTAAGATGTTAAATGTCATGTGTAAGGTTATGCAAGTAGCATGTGTGGCAAAGACACTGTCATGCCAGGTCTCTTCGAGCCAGGGCCACATTCAGGGGTTAACACCACCACCTTACAACTATGACGTATCTTGTTGCCTTCCGTGAGGAAGGAGTCACTTAGCTTCAGCCACTCTCACCCCGGACTTGCGAGAGCAGTGTTTGGCAAGCATTCATCACCTGATCAACTGGAACTCGCACAGACGTGTACTTATTTGCTGTCCAAGCCCTTGAGAAGTTGTCTTCATCTGACCCTAATCAATTGCTCTTTTTCTCCCACTCTTCTCTCCCATCAGTGAGCACCTGTAGGCAGGATCTGACTGACGCAGCATGCAGGGGCTGACCTTGCAGCAATAAAAAGGTAGGAACTACTACGTCCTTACAGGAAGATGCAGCTTGAAAACAAATGATCTCTTATCGTTTAGCACACACTGTGGCTGTGTGTCCTGGAATATCTACCATGAGTTTATTCAAATAAATGACTGAAATAATGGCCAGTGATGTCACTTACATCACTTCTACACATTTTTATACTTAAATGCAAATTCGTATCCTATGGATGAACACATTTACAGCGTTTTTGCCAATACACTTCTAACAAGGGTCTCTCCTTTTGCCGAAGGGGGTTATTGGACGATTCCTAACCACGCTGGTCAGTGCAGATTGGTCAAATCAAGGAGCCTAGACATTAAAGCATAGTACAGTGCGATAATATATTTTGCTGTACTACACTGTTGACAATGTAGCTCCACATAATTGATGTGCTTGGCCATAATTTAACATTCATTTTCTCATTAACTAAACTTGAAATTGACTTCATATAGACAGGGACACACAGCCCTATATACGTTATTTGTCTGAAAGTTAAAAACTGTTTGTTTTTTGGATGTTGTCTTTTAAATTCCAACCTCTGCTTCACCAACTCTATTTACACAGCATGCCATGAACATTATCGTGCACAGCACTGTTTGTGAACCATGTCAATTTGATGTTTACTTGTCTCTACTCCATTTGATGTGCGTTCCTGAAAGGCAGCCCCTGTGGTTCTGGGTCTCGTCAGAGCACCTCAACCCGGAATCTAGACAAGACATCCTCCTCCTTGCAACCAACCATGAGCTGGTTCAACACGTCACACCTGTCCAGCTTTGCCAAGCAGGCGCTGTCCACGGCGCAGAAATCCATCGACCGCGTGCTCGACATCAAGGAGGACGGACTCTCGTGGGACGGCGGCATCGCTCCCAACCTCATGCTGGACGGTGAGCACAGGGGGCACATGCACATGCGCGGTGGTCGGGTCTAATGACGGAGTGGCAGCCAAGGATTAGAATGTGCTCGCTAGATGGGTGATGTTGGACACATCTGCAAGTTGCAGGGTGGGTCCTAGATTTGAAGCTTTCGTGACTGCAAGGATCCATACTCTTTGGTTTTTTACCTACGTAAAGTCACGTAGGTAAAAAATATTTTTTACCTACGTGACTTTACTGAATAGAACCAAAGAGTAGGGTGGGTCCTGTTCACCGCGGAATCTCTGAATGCGCAAGCGGTTCGGCATTACATTTATTTGGAGGCAGAGCACCATTGTTTTTAAAGACATTATACTCACCGCAGAGAACCGTAGCGATACGACCGCACTCTGTGATAGCTGACGCCAAACTGTGCCACACGCCCCCCTTCCGCATGACCTTGTGGGAGCCTCGGTACGTCTTCCGACCTGAAGACTTACCGATAAAGTTATTTTATTTTAGTACATGTACGTCATCGGAGTGGGAAAGGTTTTTAAGTTGCCATCACTGGTCATCCTAAATCCGTTGCCGTTGGCAAATGCCCGCAACTATTGCCCTAAACATGACCCGTTACATCATGCTTTCTCGTGTAGAGATCCTGAGCCAGTCGCCTACATTTAATATATTTGATAAGGACCAGTGTTTCCCTACGTCATCTCCTAACTGCATTCCAATGAAGCGATTGGCATTGTCTCATGAGATGCATACATTTCCATTAGGAGCTGCCGTAGAAAGTGGACTGCCATTGCATGTTGGAGAACAGCCACTGAAAGTGGTCCCTTCTGTTACCTCTTACCCCACTAGATGTTACATCTCACTTGCCCCACTACAGAGGTGCTTGTCGCACTTGTTTGAGACCAGAAATATCTATTCCTCAGAACTGAAATTATCCCTAATTGTAGGAAAAAAACAAGGATAGATAATGCGTTTTTGTACAGTCATGCGTTCGCCATCTGAGACGATAAACTAGAACTGTTTAATCATGGGTCGGGGTCCTGACTCGAATCCGTTTTCTCAGTGGTGCTGATGCAGTGTTAGCCCTCGGGGCACCCACTCTGCTGTAGACTGCCATCAAGTGGTACTTTCTATATTAATCCCAGAGAGATAATGGAAGTTGAGCTCTGACCAGGATGTGAAATATGTTTCCTAATGTGAGACAGGTGTTCTGTCACAATGTCACCAAGCCAGCTGACATGAACATAATATTCAATAAATATGTTGTAAAAATGTGGATGTGTCTATAATTGGCACGCGTGGAGCACTTACGATTCTGTGATGATGTAAGATGTTGCCTATTGCTCAGCTGAACTTACAGACTGGGTAGCAGACTTGTGGTGTGATGTTTTTGGCATAGTTGATCGGTCAGTCGAATGCATTTAGTTAAGGGACTGGTTCATTAAGTGGGTCAGGTAATAGGCTCAGACCAATCAGGTTTAACCTAAACGCAACACTTTTTAATTTTCTTGATGTAATGTAATTTCTTGATTCTCCAGATTTTAAGATGTACTTTTCCCCCCCATGTATTTTAAAGCAGGAGTTGGGGGTGCTGCATCTAATAATCTGGTTCGTGTATATGTGGGTCTAGATATGAATAACTTCATTGACACCAGGCCTCAAGTTTGAGATATGTCTTACTCTCCGGAGAGTCTTATAATCTGGAGAATATTATAAATGTAATCAGAGTATTGCCATGTCCATAAGCTAGTCGTGAGAGAGGGAAGAGGGTGGATATAATTTTAGGGGAGGTATTTTACACCTCTGCTTAACGTTCATCCTTTATTATTTAACCACAACCTGGATCCTTAAGTGGAGAAAACCATAATGTTCAAATCGTTAATTTGGCTTAAATTCTGGAAAGTATGCACTGCACCCATAGCATAACTAAGATGAGCATGTGCAGTTTAAAGCCTGAGAAGCCTTGCATCATTTTAATTTCTTCTCTACATGCCTGAAAATTGAATAGCAAAACAAACTCATCAGATTTCTCATGAACACTGCCTTACAACAGAAAAATAGAGTGCTGTCAATTTTTGTTGATAACATTTTTTGCAGTTAATATTGTTCAAGTGCAAAGGTACACTGACTTGCTGGCAACGTGATGCAATGGTTCTCATGGCGAAAATGTGAATAATAGTGATCACAAAGAAATAACGAGCATCGTTTCCAATCTTATGGTGTCAGGTGAACATCTATTAACTCCACATGCTTTCTATGGATTAAATGCACTGATTTATATTGTCATCGTGCTTTGTAAAGGCAAATATATAAATGATTAATCATCTTATGCACCATTGACATGAATTTTAAGATACACAGTTTATCTAATATGAAAGCACCAAAAGTATTTACTTAAAAATTAATAACTGCAATGCACAATAGTTTCAAAGTGATATGTGTATTTATAATTAACACTTATTATATTGTGACTTCAGTGACTGATGTACATTCTAATGATAATTACAATTTAAAAAATTATTGTTTTATAATTTGTGCCCCCTTTGCATGATGACCCGGAGATTGATTGGCTTTATTCATATGGCAAGTTCATCCACATGTTCTCAATCGTTATAAGTCTCATGTTAAAGCTTAATATCATCTGTAAACATAATAATTTCCTTTCTGTATCGAGTGGCACAAAAGCCGATAGAACATGTGCAAAGCCCACTACTGGTTAAGTATTAAAGCATGGGCTGTTTTGTATGATTATATGCCTGCGACTGTGGTCACGAATCCAAAACCATCGACCACATTCTAAACACTCTTTCTTCACTCCGTTAAAGGAGATCCACTCTGCTTCTGAACAAAAAATTTAGTGGATAACAAATGTAAAATTACATCTTTAATCTGCTGTTATTAATCCATACGAAAGAATAAGTATGTATGTTTGTTGAACTTCTCTCGCACCGTACGTAGCTAACCGTGCTATAATCGGAGGTGCAGGGGGAGAACAACAAACTTAACACAAAAACAGTTTTAAAGAAATTCGTTTTCAATCTAGATTAATGATGATTGTGATTTTTTTTTCCCGTCACTTTTCTGGACAGGTCCGGGGAGCGTGATTGGGTCCGGGGGCGAGGCATGGGGCAGCTCCTCCGAGTGGGGCACGGCACCGCACTCGGAGGAAGCCGACGACCTCTCCCCCGCCATCACCACGCCCGTGTCGCGCACCCTGAACGAAGACACGGACAGCTTCTTCAGCGCATTTCTCACGGGAGAGCAGGACACGTCCTCACCCAGGCCTGGCGGCAACAGAGTGAAGGAGAAGGATGGGACGCCCAGGGCTGATGAGAAGAAGTCGGAAGAGCCGAAAGCGGTGCAGAGAGGGATGCAGCTCGGGAGGAAACTTGGCAGCAAGGTGCACAAGTCTGCATCCAGCGAGCCAAGCCTGCAGCCAGTGTCAGGACCGGACACTGCATCCCAGGCGAGTTCCTTGGAACGGAAGCCATCCACAGAATCGCCTGGTGAGGCAGACAGCGGCCTGCCGAGTGATGAACGCACGGATTTCTCAGAGAGCAAGAACTTTGGAGATTTACAGAGCTCGTGGCAGATGCCCGACACGGACGTGAGCGTCAGTGAGCAACGAGGAGAAGAAGACGAGGATGATACACAGCAGCAAAGTGACGAGTTGGATGGTAAAGTAGAAGGCACGGACAGCTCGTCGATAAGCATGGTTCTAGCAGCTGCTGCGGAAGAATCAACGCAGATTGTAGACGAGTGCTCCTACAATACTGGTGCCACGGCTGAGGAGACATCGGGCGTGAAGGCACCGCTGATGGATGGTGGCAGCGAGGACCGGCAGAGCAAGACTCCGTCTCCTCCGGCAGGGCCTCTTTCTTCCGGAACGTCGAGTACGAGCGACATCGAGGTGCTGGACCATGAGAGCGTGAAGAGCGAAAATTCGGCGAGCTCACGTGCTGACCACAAGGCCGCGCTCGCCCCGCTCGTTCAGGTGCAGTCCTTCCTGCCGGCACCTGGTGACGATGACCAGCGCTTGTACGAGAGTGGCAGCTCCTCCACCGACGGCTTCGAGAGGATCGACTCGGTGAGCGTGCGCTCGCTGGATAGCCGCAGCATCAGCGAGGTCAACTCGGACGACGAGGTCGGAGGTTCTCGCTTCGCACAGGCCCAGCCAGCCTCCTACGACCATCAGCAGCAGGAGCGGCCGCAGCACGAGGAGCAGCGATCCGCCGCGGCAGATTGTGACCGTGTGCCATTTGAAGGCTGCGTGCCTACTGACGAGGATATTGTGCCGGCTGAAGGCAAGTCCAGTGAGGACACCTTGGAAGTGTCTGGCTTCAGCCAGCACGACGTGGACAGTGTGGAGGAGATGGAGCGGAGTACCACACCGGTGTATGAGGAGCAGGCGGTCGCTTCAGACACGCAGGCCCTTGGCGAAACTCTGGACCCCACCGCACCAAAACTAGAGGGCGAGGAGGCCGGCATGGTGATGTCCGACGTACGGTTGGATTGCGACACGGCTGGTGCTGCCCACGATGCCGCTGCAGCTACCCTCGCGGAGGAGGCGGCGGCGGCACCTCAGGAGCAGGCGCAGGTTGTCACGCAGAACAAGCGGACGCCCAGAGGGCTGGAACACCTTTCCCTCGGATATGAAAAAATGGAACTTCAAAAGGTTGGTAATTTACCTTTCAGTTTGGCCGTGTGTGTGCCTGTGCTCAATTCACCCGGAATGTGCCCCATCTCGTCCAACATCTGAAGCGATGCAGGCTTGAATTAAAGGTCATCAGAGGGGCAGTGGGCTTATGCAGTGGGCAGTAGATTGAAGCGTATCAAAATCCGTAGTTATAATCTTCCACATCTACGCATTCCACCTTCGCCAACCCACACTGACTAGCGTGGTTTAGTGTGGTCAAATAACTTTTATGACCAGCATGGTGTGGGGGGAGGCTCTCATCTAGCAGTGGATTGACAAACGGATTTACACGAATGTGGTGTTTGGCTATGGCGAGGCAGCTCAAACCCAAAACAAAACCCAAGTTGATCTCAACTGGCTTGGGTTTTAGTGGCACTAGAATTAAATCTTAATGGCAACGCTTATTGAGATTTATAAAAAATACACTGCACGAGTAGTTCCTCGATTTCCTCTTCAATTGCTGCAATTACCAGTGTTGTTTCTCTGGTCGACGAGTGTCATTTATAGACAAGGTATTTTATGTAAATACACTTGGCTTACTTTTAAGTGGCAAAAAACTGGTTCAGCTTGTTTTGGATTACAGGTCACATAACTCCTATTTGCGTAATGCAGAAGGTTCTTGAAATAATGAGGGTGCATATAATGAGATTTTTTTGGGGAAGGACCCCTGGAAATTATAAAATATTGGGATGAAGTGAAAATCGCGATCCCAAAGGTCAAATTAGGTCAACATGGGTCCCACAGACTTTCGTCACACTGACAGAGAATTACGAACAACCAATAGGCTTCCACAGCAGTAGACTTACATGGGTGCAATAGACTTGTATAGAATACATAGGTTAACATTGAATCCATAAACTGACAAAGGACCCAAAGACTCAATATTACCATAAGGTTGTACTTGACCAATTGGCTAACTTGGGGGAACCCATAAACATTATTCGACGAATAGACTTAGATCTTACATCTGCAATACAATTTGAATATTTACCATCGACGGCATAAGGCACATAGGCTTATGTCAGTCACAAAAACCCAAGATCCTTTGTGCACGTACAGTTATTTGTCATTTCACTGCTGGATGCAGATCATGACGGTTTTTTTTACACCATGCTTTACCACACCGGTCAGTGGTGAAGGCAGGGAGTGTATTGATGCTCGGAGCATCAACGTACAATATAACGACGTTGTCTGCACTGCGCTCTGCTGCTCATCACGTACACCTGTAGCAGGCTATCGCAACGCATTTGTGCTGTCTATGCTTAGCTTCTGAGATGAATGATGAGATTGAGCATATTTTCGTTTATGTATGCAGGTTGAGCATCGTTCACACCTTACATAGCCAACCGTGCTAAGCTAATCGGAGGTGCGGATGTGGTCCTATGTTGTCCATAGACTTCAGCACCATATGTTTGGGTTAAATATATTGATTCATATTCTTACTCTTTGGTTCTATTGGGTAAAGTCACGTAGGTAAAAAATAAAATAACAAAAATCACGACGTTTCGGCCACAACACAAACGGCCTTCAGCTCACTCCAGCGCTGTCCTCCAGACAGTCTCGTCCCTTCACCTGATGAAGGCCGCTTGTGTTGTGGCCGAAACGTCGTGATTTTTGTTATTTTATTTTTTACCTACGTGACTTTACCCAATAGAACCAAAGAGTATGGATCCTTGCAGTCACGAAAGCTTTAAATCTAGAATTCATATTCTTGGTTCTTTCGGTAAAGTCACGTAGAAGGGAAATAATAAAAATTAAACATTCAAATTAAATTCTCACGACGTTTCGGCCACAACGCAAGCCGTCCTCAGGTGGAGAAACAGAGCTGTCGGACGCTGTCTTTCCGACAGCTCTGTTTCTTCACCTGAGGACGGCTGCTTGCGTTGTGGCCGAAAAGTTGAGAATTTTATTTTATTATGTTTTCGTTTTATTATTTTATTATTTCCCTTCTACGTGACTTTACCGAGAAAACCAAGAATATGGTTTAACTCTATTTATCATGTCACTGATAGTGACATGTTACAGGAGTGGTCAGCAGCACAAGGCGGTGATTAAATCTTTACCAGCAAGAGCCGTTCTTCCTTTTCGTTTGCAGATCATCGACGAGTTGACGCAGAAGCTGGAGCAGCGGGAAGGTCAGCTGCTTACCGTTAGCAAAGAGAGGGCGGTGCTGGAAGAGGCGCAGGATAACCTCCAGGAGTGAGTACAGGGTCACAGAACGCTTTTGCATAATACAGAGAGTCCTTCAAATAAGGAGGGTGGATATGATGATATTTTTTGTTTTGGGACGGACCTCTGAAAACCAAAAAAAAGACTGGGAAGAAATGAAAATTGCAATCCCAAAGGTCAAATTGAACGTCGAGTGAAACGATGCTGACTTGTTATTACCCGCGTCTCCATGTGCGTGGCGCACTCAGTTTAGCACTGTGTTGCAACTGCTGTAGCAGTTACTTATTTATCGAGCAGTTACTGTACAGGTGTGCGTTACACAACTGGCTTGTGGGATTTTCAATTGTTTTGGTGTGTTTATTTACTTCCAATGAATAGATTTTTTATATGTTTAGACGATAAAAAAGCGATATAATTGAAGTAAATTGAGTAAAGTGAAGATAACGGATGAACTTGTATATTGAGGACACTATTAAGCTGAAAGCCATCTTATGAAGGCATTAAAATTGAATGTAAAAAACCCCCCAATTTTTCATTTATGTGTCTGTGGCATTTGCATTAAGTCCTAAATGACTCAAGCATGTCTGGATGGATTTTTTTGCTTCATGTAGTTCCCTAACCACAGCTGATTTCATTGCATTGGTTGTCGTATATCTCAGCCTCGGTGCATCAGTGCTCTTGGTCATGCCATTTGCTGTCACGCTGTCAATTCCACCGTTGATGACCCCTCAACGCAGTTCACGTGAAACCCTCTCGGCACGGAGAACGTCGTCGAATCCGCTGCTGGTTTAATTGCACTGGTCTCTAGAGCATCGCCCCGGCCATGTCAGTCACTCTCAACGACTTTGCCCGACGCGTCTCCTCTGCGTTGCCCAGCGAGCTGACCCGACTGCGGGACGAGAGCAGCACAGTGGTGTCGCTGCGCGAGGAGTTCACGCAGCGGATCGCCGACGCCGAGAGGAAGGCTCAGGCGGCCTGCAAGGAGAGGGACGCCACCAAGAAGGTGTGGCTTCCACAACCATACTGAACGCACGCTCGCTCGCTCGCTCGTTCGCTCGCACCACTATCCCGCAGTTCACTTATTCACCGCAGCGAATAATCTGCGCCCTGGGCACTTTGCACATTCATAAATGTGAATCATGCGTCATATACAGTGAGGGAAAAAGTATTTGATCCCCTGCTGATTTTGTACGTTTGCCCACTGACAAAGAAATGATAAGTCTATAATTTTAATGGTAGATTTCTTTAAACAGTGAGAGACAGAATAACAACAAAAAAATCCAGAAAAACGCACGTCAAAAATGTTATAAATTGATCTGCATTTTAATGAGGGAAATAAGTATTTGACCCCTCTGCAAAACATGACTTAGTACTTGGTGGCAAAACCCTTGTTGGCAATCACAGAGGTCAAACGTTTCTTGTAGTTGGCCACCAGGTTTGCACACATCTCAGGAGGGATTTTGTCCCACTCTTTGCAGATCTTCTCCAAGTCATTAAGGTTTCGAGGCTGATGTTTGGCAACTCGAGCCTTCAGCTCCCTCCATAGATTTTCTATGGGATTAAGGTCTGGAGACTGGCTAGGCCACTCCAGGACCTTAATGTGCTTCTTCTTGAGTCACTCCTTTGTTTCCTTGGCCGTGTGTTTTGGGTCATTGTCATGCTGGAATACCCATCCACGACCCATTTTCAATGCCCTGGCCGAGGGAAGGAGGTTCTCACCCAAGATTTGACGGTACATGGCCCCGTCCATCGTCCCTTTGTTGCGGTGAAGTTGTCCTGTCCCCTTAGCAGAAAAACACCCCCAAAGCATAATGTTTCCACCTCCATGTTTGACGGTGGGGATGGTGTTCTTGGAGTCATAGGCACCATTCCTCCTCCTCCAAACACGGTGAGTTGAGTTGATGCCAAAGAGCTCCATTTTGGTCTCATCTGACCACAACACTTTCACCCAATTGTCCTCTGAATCATTCAGATGTTCATTGGCAAACTTCAGACGGGCATGTATATGTGCTTTCTTGAGCAGGGGGACCTTACGGGCGCTGCAGGATTTCAGTCCTTCACGGCGTAGTGTGTTACCAATTGTTTTCTTGGTGACTATGGTCCCAGCTGCCTTGAGCTCATTGACAAAATCCTCCCGTGTAGTTCTGGGCTGATTCCTCACCGTTCTCATGATCATTGCAACTCCACGAGGTGAGATCTTGCATGGAGCCCCAGGCTGAGGGAGATTGACAGTTCTTTTGTGTTTCTTCCATTTGCAAATAATCGCACCAACTGTTGTCACCTTATAGGAATACGTTTTACCCTTTTAACTGGCACAAATCTGACACCTTTATTAAAGGCATCATGTTTGCAATAACCACAACACAAGCAGTCAAAATGCAAACAAAAAAGACAACTCTGATAATAATATGCATGATGCCTTGAATAAAGGTGTCAGTTTTTGTGCCAGTTAAAAGGGTAAAACCTATTCCTATATCTTGTTACTGGCAAAGGAGGTCTCATAATGTAAATGCTCACCCCGAGCCCTCAATACTCTGATAGTGCGCTGTTGTTGAGTTTTACGCCTTTTGGCGTCTTCTGGTCCAACATCAATGGAGACTAGGCTCTAAGAAAAGCCGTCTCGGGTGTGGACCAATCAAATTCAAGGACAGTGCATATTATTATCAGAGTTGTCTTTTTTGTTTTCATTTTGACTGCTTGTGTTGTGGTTATTGCTAACATGATGCCTTGAATAAAGGTGTCAGTTTTTGTGCCAGTTAAAAGGGTAAAACCTATTCCTATATCTTGTTACTGGCAAAGGAGGTCTCATAATGTTGTCACCTTCTCACCAAGCTGCTTGGCAATGGTATTGTAGCCCATTCCAGCCTTGTGTAGGTCTACAATCTTGTCCCTGACATCCTTGGAGAGCTCTTTGGTCTTGGTCATGGTGGAGAGCTTGGAATCAGATTGATTGATTGCTTCTGTGGACAGGTGTCTTTTATACAGGTAACAAGCTGAGATTAGGAGCACTCCCTTTAAGAGTGCTCCTAATCTCAGCTCGTTACCTGTATAAAAGATACCTGGGAGCCAGACATCTTTCTGATTGAGAAGGGGTCAAATACATATTTCCCTCATTAAAATGCAAATCAATTCCTAACATTTTTGACATGCGTTTTTATGGATTTTTTTGTTGTTATTCTGTCTCTCACTGTTCAAATAAACCTACCATTAAAATTATAGACTGATAATTTCTTTGTCAGTGGGCAAACGTACAAAATCAGCAGGGGATCAAATACTTTTTTCCCTCACTGTATGAATTTTATGTGTAACATTTGCAGGTATAGTTAGTAATTTTGCCGTCATGTAACAATTTCTCAATTATAAATCATCAATAAAAAAATATATTATTTTTCTCACCATACATGCATGAAGTCACGTATTATGTTACTATTTGTACGCAATGGGTTAATCCACTGTAGCCACTAGAGGACCTACATTCACCAAATATTTTGAAGAAATATTGAATCAAATTGTGATTTTGAATAACAGACGATCACGTTCCCCGATGTGTTGTTGTGCGCGGTAGGAACTGAAGCTGGTCAAGCAGGATCTGGCCACGCGCTTGAACTCCAATGAGACTGCAGAGCTACTGAGACAGAAGGACGAGCAGGTTAAGGGCCTTCTGGAGGAAGGTGAGCAGTAGGTAAACTGTATGGGAAACATAACCGTTGAAAAAAATGTCGCCCCATATTGTCCTCTTAATTATCTACATAAAAGATGTACTTGTCACGTAAATACTACATATATTAATTCTGTGGGGCTACGTTGTCAGCTGAGGGCAGTGCAGCAAATGCATTGTTGTACTGTACTATGCTTCAACATCTATGCTCCCTGCCTTTACTAACGCACACTAACTGGTGGTGAAGTATGGTCAAATAACGCCCACGACCCACACAGTGTGGGGAGGCTCTAATGCAGCAGTGGATTGACGAACGGTCTGCCCTTGCACACACATACAAACAATTCCAGAGTGAGCATACCACCGGTGACTGCCTCGAGAATCGCAAAACCCATGGGTGTCTCCGGGCATGATTCCTCGCAGGCGAGAAGCTCTCCAAGCAGCAGCTGCAGACCTCCACCATCATCAAGAAGCTGCGCGCCAAGGAGAAGGAGAACGAGGGGCTGCTGTCCAAGCACAGCAGACACACCCGCGAGCTGGAGGGGGATCTGCAGCAACTACAGCAGGCAAGCGTCTCCCGCTGCCGCCACGCGCGCGTGCCCTGTAGTGGTAGCGGTAAAGGCAGACGCAGCTCGTAACGCACACGGAGGTGGCCGAGTGGCTCGGATCAGGAGCGAGCGGCTCGCGGTCAGAAGTTGACGAGTTAAAATCCTGATGGGGGGGGGGGTGGGTTGAACTCAGCCCATCGTTCCTACGGGGTCGACAATATGAATACCCACCTTGTGGGGAAGTCAATTGTAGTTGTCCTATGGGAAGACTGGCCCCACCGTAGGAAAGTGGAATTTACACAACTGGTTCAGGGCTGTAAACGGGAGATGAGCACCACCTCTGCTCATTTGAGCAGGAAATCGTTGACTTTTTAAACTTAATTTGGCTTGTCATGTGATAGGTGGAAAAGTGATGTCCCCTAAGTGTGTGTACTTAGACGTCTTGAAGGGATGTTGAAGATGAGCGCTGTTTGGTTTTTTTGGTTGCACCTTGAAGCTGTCCTGGTTTGTGGCCTAAGCTGTGGTTGAAGATGATGCCAAGTGGCCACTGCTGTGGTTGGCCTGCAGCTTGCTATGTAGATGTCAAATTACCTTCCTTTAGTCAGTTGGGACCCTAACTACATTCATTACCTCTTTTGCATGGAAAACTTCAGATTTGTGATTATATTGGAACAGTGTTTTATATCTACATATAATTTGTTTGAAATTCAAAAACCTCAGATTTGGGAAATGACACTGGCCAATCCTTTAAATATCCAATTCTTAAACACCCACTTTGCAATTATGAAACGGTGGTAAATCGACAGAGAAATCGTCAAGCGCGTGTACAAATTTAACCGGCGATTATACAAATGAACCGATGAACACTCCTATTCATCTTCCTGATTTTGCTGAAAACGAAACTTTGCGTGGCTCTGGCCGATGTTTCCGACGGCTCAATGGATCGCCGTGGTGCCGCCACCCAACATGTGCATTGAGCGCCGCGTTGGCGTTGTCCCTGCGTGGGGGCCCGCAGGTGCTGGACGGCAAGGAGGAGGTGGAGAAACAGCACAGGGACAACATCAGGAAGCTGAACGCGGTGGTGGAGCGGCAGGAAAAGGAGACAGCGCGCCTGCAGGCCGAGCTGCTCGCGCTGCAGGAGAACAACCGCACGCTCCAGGCTGCATACGACAACGCCTACAAGTGGGGGACACGCGGCCTGCGGCACTAACGTGGCTCGCTCACGGCTCGAACGTGGCTCGCTCACGGCTCTAACGTGACTCGCTCGCCCCTCGAAATGGGTTCACTCGCTCCGCTAAATTATTTTTACGCTCGGCTCCGTGTCCGAGAATGTGCACGCGTTAACAAATTGGCCAAAAGCATCTTCGCGAATGGATTATGGTATCGCTTTCCGAGGTACGTTTATCTTCGGAATTATTTGATCAGCGGTGTGGAAGCCGCTTCCAGCAGTGCATTTACCATTGTTGATGATGACCATTGTCTTTTTGGATCTGGTTTGTGTAGTAAATTTGAACGGTTTTCAATAGGAAAACTCACCAACACAACTTGAGACTACAAGGTTTGATTCAAATTGGGGTTTTATCTTCTGAATGAAGAAAGTGGGACGTATTTTGATATGCATTTGTATATCAATGTCAACATGAGAACAGGGCTATGTTAGCAGAGGAGAGTGCAGAAAAATGGACTGTTGTGCTGTATTGTCCACCACGCTGGTCACCGTGGGGACATTATGTCAAATAACCTCCAATGACCCACACGACATGGAGAGGTCATTCGCAAGCGGTGGTTTGACACAAAGGCCATGAACGTACACGTCCATGGGTACATTGTGCAGAGGCACCATGTGTTGGCACTAAGCGTGCGCTGAGCACAATACGATTCGACGATCCTTCACGAAAATCGTGCTGCCCTGTTATCTTTCGAAGCGTTGGCCAAGTCCGAGTCTTTATTTTTTGTATCCACGCCGTAGGGAGCTGACAGAGCTGCACCGCGCCAATGCGTCTCGCGAAAGCGAAGCCCAGGAGGCCGTGCTCAGCCGCGAGGTGCAGGCGCATGAGCAAATGCGCCTCGCCCTGGAGCAGCAGCAGGAGGAGGCCATCCAGCAACACGAGGCACTGTCCATGCAGGCAAGGGCGCCTATCAGGGCACCGTGGCGGTGATCGTGGCTGTGGTTACTATGAACCTGTCGGATATAGCAAAAAGGGGGCTTATAGTACGAGATCTTTTTTATTTAGACGGCACTGAGCCAGACATGCAAGTTCATTTGAAACTTGAACTGCTTTTTGTGTTTACTTTGTTGTCCTTCCGCATGGTTGGCTACGTGCGAAAGAAGTTCAACATACATGCATGTGATGTCATAGCCACATTGTAATTGCTACAGCTAATACATGCATTAAATAATAACATGCATTGTGGAGATGAGCGCACCCCCGAGCTTAAATTAGTTTGTGAAGACTGATTCACAGTAACTGCACGCTGAGTATAGAATTCATGTTTAATATTGAGAACATTTAGCTCAGAGGAAGATTACACCCACAACACTAAGACGCTCTTGTATATACAAACCTAAGGCATATGCTGCCCAGCACATGTTTGAAGCTTACTTAATAAGAAAATATCAAAATACAACCATTATAGCTCTAGTGATATCACTAACATCACTCACCGTTTATGAAATGACATCATAGTACATTACAGCAACACAGTTAACTGATTTTCTCTGTTTACCTTCAAATTTATGTCAGACAACCCGGGGCACATAGGCTAGGTATTAAAGGTGTAACGGTTAATACGTTCCTCATTTAATATCGATCTTTAAGCTCATGATGCATGGATAGAATTGCATTTCTACGAATCATGTTTCCCCGAGTAATCCTCTAATATGCAATGTATGTAATGGGTTCACAAGCGGCCACTAGTGACTGCTACATTCACCGCAGTAGTATAAAAGAATTGGATCTTGAATATAATTGGACACTGAATCACGACATATCATTTGATTTGCCGGGGTGGGGCATAGTTATTACGCTTCTGGGAGGTACATGTTTACATGACAAGAGATGCCTTTTGTCCTTTAACAAAGTAGTCTTGACCAGCATATCTTGATCAGCATAGGTGTCTCACGATCGTAATCCTCAGTGCACTTTCACTGAACTCCACTGGTTGCCGGTTTTAATGCAACGCCTGTGGTTCCTGTGTCATATGCAGGTGACGGACTTGAGACTGGCCCTGCAGAGAGCAGAACAACAGCAGGCGAGGAAAGAAGACTACTTCAGACAGGAGCTCAGCGAGATGCAGCAGGTGAGCACTAACCTGAGGAAGGGGAAAAACCGGTCGGGCAGATCTTGGAAAGCAGTTGGCAGCAAATAGCACTTCTTGCTCGTTAAATTTAAGTGATGAATAAACGTGCAAAGCTGTATGCGAAATGGATCTGCGCAAGTGTTGACATGGCTTTTTTCCCCAAAGCCGAGGCTTCTGCACAAAGGGCCATGTTGTTCGAGCAAGACCGTGGGGAGTTGTAAGGGAGTGATCCACTCTTGCCGCAGGATCACTTGAGTATCAATGTTTGCCTCGGCTTTCTCATTGCTGGACACTAGCTGTGTACTTTTCATTGTTCATCTTAGTGGGTCACCTGCTCTTGTGTGATTTGTTAAGGCCACCAAAGGTCAAGTTAATGCTTGGGTTTATATAAATGGCCATAAGCCGTTCATGCAGCATGAGTTCTATACAAACGTAAGCAAATTTATGTATACAATGAATAAGAGTCTCAGTTCGATTTGCAGCCCCTAATTAAAAGAAAGAGTCATGGGTATTTTTTACGAATATTATGAATAATAATTCATATATCTGATGAGCCTCACTGAGTCTCTTTTGGAATGTTTGTTCAACTCCCATGGATTTTCTCAAGGCACTCTATAAAGCCCTGCATAAATAGGTCATTGACCCACTGTTGTTGCCCTGTTGACATCTCCTGGCCATGTCACAGCCTCGTGCTTTTAGAAGTTTGATAAATCTATATACACCACCAACCCTAGCCTCCAAAGTGGTGGATAATTATAGGCCTTAACCACCACATCTGGCAGTTTGTAAACAGTTGGGTTTTTTTTGCAAATCACAGCCCTGAAGGCTTTTCTATGTGAAGACCTGTCCACGCCATGCAGGTTATGGGGATAATTTGAACATTCTGCACCATAGTGGCCAGTGGAGGTTCTGAAGGCAGAGAGCATCTACATGGGATTGTAGAAGTATAGTCCAACAATAGAATATTCTGGTTGTGTATGGTGGTCACCAATCCAAGCACCATTATCTCAATTCTGCTTAGCTTCTGAGATTTGATGATATCAGGCTCATTCCGGACCGTGATTTGATCATAGGTAATTCTACACTTAGGTGAATAATTTAAATGCTCACTTTCATTAACTCGTTTTCACCATTCCAGCCATCTCACGTGTGCAATGAGTTGAACGTGAACAACCAACCTTGCATCGAAGGCTTTGCTTTGCTTGGCCGCATGATTTGAAAACCCAGGTACGATTTATAAACCCTTGTTGTTTGTAAAAAAAAAAAAACCCGTGTGTTATTGTCAACCTGCTTGTGCGCACAGAGGCTGCAGGAGGCGGAGGGCCGGAATCAGGAGCTGAGCCACGGCGTCTCGACCGCCACGCGCCCGCTTTTGCGGCAGATCGAGAATCTGCAGGGCACGCTGAGCGCGCAGTCGGCCTCCTGGGAAAAGCTGGAGAGGAGCTTGTCTGACCGATTGGGTGAGCTTCTTGCCCCAAGGCACCAGGCCACACATCGGTTTCGTCAGTGCCAGTGTGTTACCCCATGTCACCCCTGTGCCTTGTGTCTTCCAGCCATGCTTGCGTTATTGTTTAGCTTAAATGTTAAGTCTTCTTTCACACTGATTTCGAATGCTTATCACACAGTCTGTAATGCACAGCTGGGGTTCATATCTGCAGAGTAGAGTTGTTCGTTTTTATTGGTTTGCTTTTTTATAGGTAACAGATTTAATTTTAGTTTGGATATACCTGGCTGGAAAGGTAGTGGTGGAGCACCTGATTTGGCTTAATATGCAGAGAATTATGAAAAATAGAATAAACAATGAATTAGTTCATCAGCCTGTTAGCTTGCCAGACTTGTTTAATATCCTCAGATCAGGATAGACATCCTTCGCTGACCTGGCTGACCTCAAGGTTACTCTCACATATCCTGGATCCATCAGTTCACCAATGACTCTCCTGCTACTGTCAGTGAGACTTGAGATGAGGCCAAACGCATAGGACATTGTTGATTAACTCACCTGACCCCAGCTGTTCAAGCGAATTGACTCAATTGATTTTAACGAAACCAACTCTGGGTTGGTCTTGACATTCTGGGACTGATGAACAGAAGTTTGTTTACGACTGCATAGGTTGATTGTGCTGTGTAGCTCTGCAATGTGTTTTCTGTGTTGTACTGTGCATTGGCATGCTGTCCAGCGTTTTACTCTATGTGTTGGAAGTTTAAGTTCTTTTGGAACTTCTCCAAGCACGTGGGGCGAAACATTGGACTTGCAGAACAACGTGCGGCACTTCCTGAAATCACATTTTAGATGAGGTCATACACGCCGCGCGATCTATGCTCACCTCCACCCTTATCGCGGGGTGCCGCCTGTTGGGGAGTCACATGGTGTGGGGGATTGCGTCATTGCGTTGTAGCACGATGTCATGGCATAGCATAGCATGACATCATTGCTCTTTGGGCAGGACTTTTGAACTTGGCTGTTGAACATGTCTGCTGATCTCAGACACGAGTCTGCTGTCGTTTTTCATTGAATCTAGAACACCACCTTCTCCTGCGCATGCATTGTGTGTGTGTGGGTGTAGCCGAGTCTCAGATGCAGCAGGCGACGGCCGTGCAGCGCGAGCGCGCCGCCCAGGAGTCGCTCATGCAGCAGAGCGCGCAGCTGTCGGCGCTGGAGTCGCAGAGCGCGATCCTCCGGCAGGAGCGCGGCCGCCTCCATGGGCAGCTGGACATGGAGAAGCAGCGGCAACATGAGTTGCAGGAGCAGCAGTCGAGGTGCAGCCGGAGCTCCGGAGCCCCCCACACACAGCCCATGCTTGCATCCATGCAAGTCAAATATATTTGTGTCATAATTAAACATGTAAAAATAGCAAAACTTGTTAAAAATATTTGTCACAAGTCACAGACAAGTAAGCTGAATTCACAAGTGAGCTGTCCTTAGGCACATTGTTTGCAGCAAGGTAATGTGTGGGTGATTATCTACTTACTCATCTGCCCACCATAGAAGACAACACCGAATGAGAGAAGCTCTACACCGGCAGTGGCATGAGCACCATGTGTGGATAAGTACCTTTGTATAAAGTGAAAAGTGAAGCGGCAAGCAATGCTGGTCTCTTCTGTATTGCTATTGCAGAAGCTTGGTGGAACTGGAGACGCTGCGGGAAGAGCACCTGAAGACCTTGGAGGAAGCCAGAAAAGACAAGGTACTAGACTTGTGTGCATTACATAGAATGCAACAATTGCTGATGGCTCCCTAGTCTTTTCTCTGTTACGAATTGGGCTCCATTGTCATACTAACATGAACAGAGATCCTTGCACCAGTAACATGTCCTGCACATTTACGCACGTGTTCTCATGGCAGGCGTTTTTGAATACTGTGCAGTGCTGGTCTTGTGTATTTTTTGCACTTATTAAACAGAGGGCCTGTGACCAGATCACCGTGAATGCTTAACACTGAACCCACAGACGCTGTTGCTGAGCCAGCTGGAGGTGGAGCGAGCAAAGGTGGACGCGGAAAAGAAGAGGGCGCTGATCGCTCAGGAAGCCCTCAAGGAGAAGGTGCGTCTGAAACCACCATGCTCCCTGGCAATATGAAAGGAAGGCACAATGGAGAAAACAAATGACTTGTATGTGTGTATGTTGAAGCTCTTTCACACCGTACGTAGCCAACCATGCTAATCAGAGATGTGATTGTAGAATTGTACCTAGGCTGTGTTCCAGGCTCTCTGAAAGAAGTTGCTTTCATAACTGATAATAATAATACAGACTCTCTAATAATGGTCAGATGTGCTACCATAGTGTGCACTCGAGTGATGTCACGCCGATGAACAAATGACAGTGACTTAGCAGTGCTGGTACTATTATTTCTCATGGAAACCCAATGGCTGTGACCACTAGGCAAAGCATTATCCTCCTGTGTGCAGACATGGCTTAGCAGAAGACGCAACCTTAAGCACAGGGAGATGTTCTATTCTTTTGTTGCCGAATCATCATTGATCCAGGTTTTTAAATCTGCTCTTAGAAATAAAGAAACAAGAAGTGTAATTTCACCTCTGCCATTGTACCTGACTGGGCCAAGCAGTGAGCACAGCCAGCATGATTCCAGGAAACGCAGTTTTGGTACATATCTACAAAATAGGAACTTGTGTTTTAGTTTGCATTTTTTTTTCCACCGTTTGGAATCACTGTTACGAGTCTGATTTGACCCACGTGTCTGCTATTGTGTGTTATGATTGCAGGACCGAAGAGGGTCCCGGGCACAGTCTCTTGAAGGGATTTCGGTTGTGTTAAGTCACTCAAGCTCCAGCTCAGTCGGCCTCAACGAGAGTGTCAGTGGACCGTCGGCCAGTGCTGTAACGCAGGTTCGTTTGGCACTTTCCAAAGATCATACGAGTGTGTTTGTGCGTGTGGATTAAAATATTTCAATTTAAAATCGTGGGGAGCGGTAGTGTAGTGGTTAGCGCCACTGCGCTACGAACCTGTCGTCCCGAGTTTGATTCCCGCTCACAGCCAACACCAGTGACAATCTGAATCGGTCCTGGGCTTCACCTAGGTCGACTCGGCCTCAAAAGAGTACCTGGTGTGGTGTGTAAAATCATCGCCACTGGGGAGACAACGTCATTCGGGTATGGTGCTGGCTACCCACCCCCTTGTGTATTGTGCCTGCCTCCATAGATGGAAGAGGAAAGTAATCTTGAAGAGTGAAAGACATTGTGGGAGGCCTTCAACCAGCAGTGGGATGTTAAAAACTAACAGATAGAAATATCTGGTGTCTATGTGCAAACATTAAATAAGTAGCTTAACACTGTAGGCTTTCGCGACCAATATCATTCATAATAAAGGTTTTTTGGGGTTAGATCGTGTAAATATAACCTGCCACCAACCACTATTGTAATGATTGTAAATGTTGTGAATTTGCTCTCCAACACACCGGTGTGCTGCACTCGTAACGAATTGGCATGTTCTGTTTATGTGACAAACCTTACTAGTTGGTTGTGTCGGGTGGTGGCGGGTTTAACGACACATGTACGTGCTCTAACCCAAAAAACCTTTTATGCATTATTAAGTACATTGCCAGACACAGCATAAACCTTGTGCACCATGGCATATATCTGTATACATCTGACTAATTAAATTCACTGGTCCCACTGTATTCGCACGTAACGATGCGCACATGCGGACCTGCCTCTGTCAACGCAGGAGGAATCGATCGAGCAGGCGCTGATGGGTCCTGGAAACGTGTACGAAGCGCTGCGACTGAACGCCGGCTCCAGCGTCATCGAGAGCCTGCAGTCGCAACTCAAGCAGCGCGAAGGGGAGATCGCACAGCTCCAGGTAAAGGCTTGTGCCCTGGCCAGACCATCAGCTGGGAAACAGCTCAATCAGTTGCACGTTGGCCAAGATACACGCGCAGATTGCATGCTGATATCATGACCATCGACGAACGTACTTTGTAAGAGCGCCCGCCGCACTGCATTTTATATGTATCTATGTTGAACATCTGTGACACTGTGTACGTAGCCAACCATCATTATTGGAGGTGTGGGGAAGGACACCAAACTTAAACACAAAAAGCAGTTCTGAAGAAGTGAGTTTTCAATCTATATTTGAAAGTGCATAGCCTCTAGTGGCTTACTAATGACGGAAGGAAGAGCTTTCGAGACGGCCGCAGAAGCGCGCATATGAAAGCGCACGATGCGGTGACCGTCTTTGTTCGATGGCTATCGAAAAGCCGTTGCGAGGATGACCGGAGTTTGCGTGATGGTTTATGCTACTTGTGCGAGATCAGCAAGGTATTGTGGCTGCTGCAGCACTGTACCCCCCCCCCCCCGCCACCTCGTTGAGAGACGAAGTGTGCGTGTCGTGCTGCCAGACGGAGATCGGCAAGCTGGAGCGCACGCGCATGCTAATGACGGAGGAGCTCGTGAAGCTGAGCACGCAGAATGAGGAGCTGCAGGAAAGCGCGGAAGAGGTGCCCAAGCTCAAGGGTCAGCTGAAGGTGAGCCCCGTCGGTCAGCATCGTCGTCGCCACCCCCGGTTTTATTTCCCTGCAGTGCGCACACGTGTACGCGCAACCGTGTATCCTGCAGCTGAAGGGGCCACTCGTGTAAGCCAGGAGAGAGCGGAACCTTTTCTTTACTTAGGGCCAACCAGGATTTTAAAATACATTTGACGGGCCACATTAACAAGATACCTGATGGGCCACGTTAAGAACAACACAAGTGACTGAGCGCTTGAAAATTAGAAGAAATGTTTTTTTTGCAGGTCAATATTCCCCCCTCTATCTCGCAGCATATCTTGCACGATGAAAAAGGGCCATTGCCCGAAACGTCACTTATTCTTTATTTTTCGTTTTAAGGCAGTGACATTTACAAGGTGATGCTCATTTGTGCGTTTTTAACTTCTGGGGTGACACGCCGAGTAGAAGATTACGAGCGGCTTCAAAACCAATGTACCGTTAATTTGGCTTTCTACTCATAATGTAATGATTCACCCCTGCCCTCGCCTCTACACTAGAGTCGAAATTTCATTGAGGAATCCATTTTTCTGGTCACGTTTGTACACTTTTGTTCTCGACATTGGATGAAACGTATCGGTAAGCATACCCTCCGCATACAATTCCAATAATAATAATTTCTTATATGCACGATTTATTGCATGTGTCATGAATGTAAGAGTCGATTTTACCATCGTGGAGCCGAGTTTAACCTGGATCATTTTTTTCATAGAATTTTATTGGCTGACCTAATGGCCATCATATAGTGCTACATGTGACCACATGGTCACACTCGGTTATTTTGGGTTCATCTAGATCGATCGTACATGCCTACTCCATACATTTCACTATTAATCGGTATCACTTCTGTGAGTGAGTGAGCAGATAGAAAAATTGTCTTCTGGCTTGTTTTGTCGCTCGTGCGCATGCTCAGGACCTGGAGCAGCGGTACAACACGATGCTGCAGATGTATGGGGAGAAGGCGGAGGAGGCCGAAGAGCTTCGTCTGGACCTGCAGGACATCAAGAACATGTACAAGGCTCAGATTGAGGAGCTGCTACGACAGAGGCCCTCGTAGTGCAGGACAAATCCTGCTGCCGCACACTGGGACATGTCAGCCTCCTCAACTCTGCCTGCCCTTACTCCCCATCCCATGGTGCCTCTTTCTTGGGTGGCCGTGGGATGAAGATGTCCAAAAATACATTTTTGGAACATCACCCAAGAGTGACGCGAAACTATACTAATTATTTTTTGCGGTTATCAAAGTGACCGCTAACCAGTTATGGATCGTACCATGTTTAGTTTGCCATTTTAAGTCCAGCCTTCCTCGATAATCCAGATCATTTTTTCGTCAAATTCCTTCCCAATTAATGATTTTTTGTTAATGCTGCAGATAGTATGTTGTCAGTACATCACCACCAGCCCTACTATTGTCGCATCTCCTAGTCACAGCTGAATGTATTATCCCAATACGAAGCTGTGGCTCAAGATCCCCGTCTGGAGGTGGTTTGCTGGGAGTTCAGTCCTGGCATGCAGTGTGATGTCTGCTTTCTCATCGCCATTGATGCCAGATGCCTCTACAAACAGCACGAGTGAACATTTACTCTGCGGCGCGCTAATGCTCGTAGATCCATTGAAATTTAAGATCACAGCATTTCTTCGAAACTCTGAAGCACCCCCCCCCCCCCCCCCAGAGGCATCTGTTGTAATGTTCTGTCATTAACCCATCATGCAGGCCTGGATTAGGAACTGTATATTCCATTGTTTGAACACAAGTACAAGAAGGCGGGTGCTGTGTGTGAGAAACGCTTTTCCCACAATCGCATTCCGTTTGCGGCAGGGCACAGTATTTTTTTCCCACCAGCGTTCACAGTTTAAGGGAGCTTATGCCAAGAGTCTCCCTTGGTGTGAAATCTGTGGTGTCACTCACGTCATCGCAAGAAGCCGCAGACCTATTTACATCCGATCGCTGTGGTACAGTCATTCAGTGTTCCAGCAGGCAGCATCTTCAGCTGTGGCTGAAGCCAGATTTTTGGAAGCCTTTTCACTCTTTTACATCATTTTCACAAAGCGGTAGGTGATGTGCTCTATTATCACGTCTGCACAGACACTTTTGTTTGTTGTTCTGCTGGCACGTCCCATCGTTTGTATGTGACCAGATATGTTTTTGTTGCTGTCATGGTGATATAGATTTATTATTGATGCATTAAAGCGTTAGGTATTTTAATTAGCCCCCCCCCCCTCCTCGTAAATGCTAAGCTGGTGAATGGGTTATGTTTTTAACTGTCATTGCACTTTTACGGAGAAGTTGATCTTTTCAAAAGAGATCACGATGGCGCGTTTAATTCTATATCAAGGTTTCACCGAGTGTTTCGCACGTCGAGTGTGGAACTCGAGCATAGCGTCTGCCATGTATTAGGGTGTTTGGCCATGCCATGGCTGTAATATTCTAGACTATTCTGCGGTGCATCCAGTACAAGTGGAAATTTTGGAGTGCCAAGGTCTTTTGTGGTCGTTTGGCATTAAAATGCATTTCTCGATCCACGATTTTACGTTTGACTTCAGAAGTGACTGTGTGTACGGTACTGTACATAAGAGGGTGTATGTATGTGTATATATAAAATCTTGTTAACATTTACAGTTGCATGTCGTGGTTAATTTGCCATATTAATAAACAAGGTCTCCCGTCCAATCCTGACAATATATACAGTATCTAAACAAGTTATTTTGTGGAAAATGTTCTTAAATTAGCATAGTCGATAGCTAAATACACGTGCACACACACTTGTGAATTACGTGAGCTACATTTGACCTTAGCACTCCACAAAGCCCATTTAAGATGGAGGGCCCTGGGGTTAGACTTTGTTGATTCAAACTTAACATAGCCTTGATTTAGCACGATATACACTCGATATTAAACATGTATGCAATTAGTTGAAGGATACGGTATATGAAAAGAAACTCACGGATGACAACGTTGGTTATTTATGGGGATAAGCAGTTGAATAAAAGTCTTCAACTTGTGCTTGGCTCATTGAACCTTGTATCAAAGCTGTGTATTGTAAGCACTATTGTGCGTGTGGCTAAATGTTTTGGACTTGAGCAAGTGAACTTTCTTAACTTGACGCAGTGATCGATCGTTAATGTCGTGGGGAATGTAACATGGCTAAGCAGACACTATTCCTCTTTAGCATGTCTGTACCTCCCCGTAACTTTTTTTTTACACATCCCAATCTCGGCCACATGGCCTTCTCGGAGTGGCTACTTTTCAACAGCATTGGTTCAATACAAGCAAACTCTTGACTGGTTTCCAAAGACTTCGTCTCAACAGCAGCGTCAAGCTTGATTAAACCAATGCTGGTGAGCTGACAGATGTGTATCGTCAAGGGTCCTCTTAGAAATTGATCATTGGGGTTATAGCAATGACCCAAAATTTATTTCGGGATGATGCGGTGGCCCGAGTTGAGTTTCTCCAGCCACGGCTGATTTGCTGGCTATCATCAATGGTAAGTGATATCTACATGCGATTTGATGCATGTATTTACACAAATCTACATCAATCGATGCATTTGTGCATTATACGAACTTTTGTCCAGAGACCACTATGTCACCAACAGTTAGCCAGAAAGCTGAACATTTCTGGACTAAAACTTTCTGACCTTGGACCAAACCACCATGCGTGAAAATTATTAGTTTTTGTGGAACATAGATGTAAGTAGAAGTTCTATAGGAGAATAGGTTTTACCTTTTCTGGTAATAAAACAGTTGTGTTAAGATGTTCTTGGTTCTTTCGGTAAAGTCACGTAGAAGGGAAACAAAATAAAAATATAAAACAAAATTCTCACGACGTTTCGACTGCAACACAAGCAATCATCATCAGGTGTGAACACTACACCTGATGGTGATTGCTTGTGAGAAAACCACACCTGATGATGTATGCTTGTGTTGCAGTTGAAACGTGAGAATTGTTTTATATTTTTATTATTTTATTGTTTCCCTTCTACGTGACTTTACCGAAAGAACCAATAATCTGAATCCCTGCAGTCACGAAAGCTTTAAATCAAAATGTAGGTGTTAAGATGTTAAAACCCCAAACTGAAACCTTTTGCAAGGAATCATGTCTGCATTAACCACATTTGTGGTGAACATGCAAACAAAAAAACATGCTCTTGTAGTATATGCATTGTCTTTGCAACTGGTTGGTCCTCACCAGAGACAGCTTTCTTTAGAGCCTAGTCTCAAACAGTGTTAGACCACAGGACGCCAAAAGGCGAACAGCACAAAGACAATGCCACTACCGGCCCGAGAGGGGCCCGGGGAGCGTTGAATAATAGTGCTAGATGGCACCACGCTTTGCGTGCAGTGCCGACCCTCCAGGACAGGGTGTGTGGGTGCCGGCCAAAGGATGAGGTTACGTGAGGCCATGGCACTCTGGTTGACACGGGAGGACAGGTGACTGGTTAGGTCTACAAAGGGCCCCCAAGAGGGGGCGAGGGGTGGTCACGTGATTGGGACCGAGATCCTTCCCGAGGATTTTGGAAGGTGGACGTGGCCAAGGACGGAGCCGGCCACGCCACAGAGAATATAAGCCGGGTCCCGAGAGGGACCAAGGTTGTTGTTCATCCTGAAGAAACCCTTCGTCTACGTTCTCCGTTCAACGAGTCTCCAACACGTGGACCCGGGCCGAAGCTGTTGGTCCCGGTCCGTAGAAGCAGTTATGTTGTAACTAGTGTAGTTACTCGTGTCGTAACTAGTGTAGGTAGCCTGGTGGTCACCACCGTAGGTTGTTATTCTGTTAAGGGGAAGTTACCCCGTGCGCTGGAACTGAATAAATATGTTGCCTCCAAGTCTACGGCTGCGACTAAGTTGAATCCATTACATATTCATTATCTTTTAAACTGATTGGGCCACACCAGAGACAGCTTTCTTGAGAGCCTAGTCTCAAACAGCGTTAGAACAGAGGACGCCAAAAGGCGAACAGCACAAAGACATGTTCACCACAAGTATACAGTGACGGAAAAAATTATTTGATCCCCTGCTGATTTTGGACGTTGCCCACTGACGAAGAAATGATCAGTCTATAATTTTAATGGTATGTTTATTTGAACAGTGAGAGACAGAATAACAACAAAATCCAGAAAAACGCATGTCAAAAATGTCATAAATTGATTTTCATTTTAATGAGGGAAATAAGTATTTGACCCCTCTGCAAAACATGACTTAGTACTTGGTGGCAAAACCCTTGTTGGCAATCACAGAGGTCAGACGTTTCTTGTAGTTGGCCAGCAGGTTTGCACACATCTCGGGAGGGATTTTGTCCCACTCCTCTTTGCAGATCTTCTCCAAGTCATTAAGGTTTCGAGGCTGACGTTTGGCAACTCGAACCTTCAGCTCCCTCCACAGATTTCCTATGGGATTAAGGTCTGGAGACTGGCTAGGCCACTCCAGGACTTTAATGTGTTTCTTCTTGAGCCACTCCTTTGTTGCCTTGGCAGTGTGTTTTGGGCCATTGTCATGCTGGAATACCCATCCACGACCCATTTTCAATGCCCTGGCTGAGGGAAGGAGGTTCTCACCCAAGATTTAACGGTACATGGCCCCGTTCATCGTCCCTTTGATGCGGTGAAGTTGTCCTGTCCCCTTAGCAGAAAAACACCCCCAAAGCATAATGTTTCCACCTCCATATTTGACGGTGGGGATGGTGTTCTTGGGGTCATAGGCAGCATTCCTCCTCCTCCAAACACGGCGAGTTGAGTTGATGCCAAAGAGCTCCATTTTGGTCTCATCTGACCACAACACTTTCACCCAGTTGTCCTCTGAATCATTCAGATGTGCATTGGCAAACTTCAGACGGGCATGTATATGTGCTTTCTTGAGCAGGGGGACCTTGCGAGCGCTGCAGGATTTCAGTCCTTCACGACGTAGTGTGTTACCAATTGTTTTCTTGGTGACTATGGTCCCAGCTGCCTTTCAAGTTTCAAGTTTCATTTATTAGGTATAGCCCTGTGAGCCATGCGGCTCTTAAGTCGGTTGTAGTTCTGGGCTGATTCCTCACCGTTCTCATGATCATTGCAACTCCACTAGGTGAGTTCTTGCATGGAGCCCCAGGCCGAGGGAGATTGACAGTTCTTTTGTGTTTCTTCCATTTGCGAATAATCGCACCAACTGTTGTCACCTTCTCACCAAGCTGCTTGGCAATGGTGTTGTAGCCCATTCCAGCCTTGTGTAGGTCTACAATCTTGTCCCTGACATTCTTGGAGAGCTCTTTGGTCTTGGCTATAGTGGAGAGTTTGGAATCTGATTGATTGATTGCTTCTGTGGACAGTTGTCTTTTATACAGGTAACGAGCTGAGATTAGGAGCACTCCCTTTAATAGTGTGCTCCTAATCTCAGCTCGTTACCTGTATAAAAGACACCTGTGAGCCAGAAATCTTTCTGATTGAGAGGGGGTCAAATACGTATTTCCCTCATTAAAATGCAAATCAATTTATAACATTTTTGACATGCGTTTTTCTGGATTTTCTTGTTATTCTGTCTCTCACTGTTCAAATGAACCTACCATTAAAATTATAGACTGGTAATTTCTTTGTCATTGGGCAAATGTACAAAATTAGCAGGGGATCAAAGACTTTTTTCCCTCACTGCACGTGTTTAATGCAGATATGATTCCATGCAAAAGGTTTCAGTTTGGTGTTTTAACACCTTAACACAACTGCTTTCTTGCCAGAAAGGGTAACACCTATTATATTTTGATATTGGCAAGAGAGGTCCCATGAAGTAGAAGTTCGTTGTGTGTTTCCACGTAATAAAAAAATCGATTACATTTTTAGTCCCATCAACACGTTGGCTTTCCAGGCCAACATTGGCCAACATTGGCCAACACTGGCCAACATTGGCCAACACTGGCCAACATTGGCCAACACTGGCCAACATTGGCCAACACTGGCCAACATTGGCCAACACTGGCCAACATTGGCCAACACTGGCCAACATTGGCCAACACTGGCCAACATTGGCCAACACTGGCCAACATTGGCCAACACTGGCCAACATTGGCCAACACTGGCCAACATTGGCCAACACTGGCCAACATTGGCCAACACTGGCCAACATTGGCCAACACTGGCCAACATTGGCCAACACTGGCCAACATTGGCCAACACTGGCCAACATTGGCCAACACTGGCCAACATTGGCCAACACTGGCCAACATTGGCCAACACTGGCCAACATTGGCCAACACTGGCCAACATTGGCCAACACTGGCCAACATTGGCCAACACTGGCCAAGAGCCTTTTGTTGAAGCAAACCAGAGCTTTGACTTTCTGAAAAACAAAAATGATTCTGCGAAGTGGACAGCAGAGGGCAGTGCAGAAATATGCAGTATTATCCCATTTGTCGTACTGAGCTTCCATTGTCCCACGTCTGTCTTTCCCTTCCTTCAACGCACACTGACGAAGCAGTATGGGTTGAATAACCCCCCGCGACCCGCATGGAAGAACAGGGTAGGCACTCTTATCCAGCAGTGGATTGACAAAAGAGCTGTAACAAGTACACATGGCGCAAAACAATATAACACGAGGTTCAAGCCATTAATAGATACCCCACTGATATGTAATGTTCGTCTTGCTCGACAGCTGAGTCCATTTAACACGTAGGCTTTCGCGAACCTTCGGGGCCGTCCATAAATGACGTCACGCACCTGGGGGGGGTCAGACATTTGTGACGATGTGTGACGAGGGGGGGGGGGGTTGAGAAATGTGACGTCACATCAAAATGTGCAACTTTCAATAAATATAGACAACACGTTCTACTTAATTAAATAGACTTTTTAATAAATGTTTTCTTCCGCAACATCAGAGTGCAGCGCCACATTAAATACGCACTACAATGATAATAGTTCAAAGCGATTTGAAGCATGTTTTGGGGGGGTCTGACTTTTTGTGACGCCGCGTGACGAGGGGGTGGGGGGTAAAACATCGTCCAAAATCGCGTGACGTCATTTATGGACGGCCCCTTATCC